AAGAAGTCGGAGACTTTCAGATAACTTTTAGAAAAGAAATTTACAAAAGTGTCCCACAGAGCTCATCCTCAGCCCATAGAATTTCTCCCATCAAAGGAATTCACGCCCTCAGAATCGTCAGAAGAAGCTTTCAAACAGATCATGAAAGCTCTAAAAGATGACAACGTCAATATGATCGGACTGTACGGCATGGGAGGGGTGGGTAAAACAACCCTGGTGAAAGAAGTAGGCAGGAGAGCCAAAGAGTCGCAGCTTTTTCCTGAAGTTTTGATGGCTACGGTGTCCCAGAATCCAAATGTCACAGACATTCAGCACCAAATGGTAGATAAGTTAGATCTGGGTAAAGAAAAGAGTACTAATGCAGGGAGAGCTGATCTATTATGGCTGAGACTGAAGAAAGTGGAGAAGATGCTTATAATCCTGGATGATGTTTGGAAACATATTGACTTGAAAGAGATAGGGATCCCATTTGGTGATGATCACAGGGGTTGTAAAATTCTTCTAACAACACGTCGTCGAGACATATGTTCTTATATGGTGTGCCAGAAAAATGTGTTTTTAGGTCTTTTTTCTGAAAAAGAATCATGGGATTTATTCAGAATCAATGCAGGTTTAGATGATGGGGACTCTACCTTGAACAGAGTGGCAAGGGATGTTGCGAGAGAATGCAACGGCCTGCCTATAGCACTCGTGACAATGGGAAGGGCTCTAAGAGGTAAATCGGCAGATGAGTGGAATAGAGTGTCCAACCAGCTCAAAAAATCTAAATTTCCGGTCCTGGAAAACATTGAAGAAAAAAATGCATATGCATGTCTTAAGTTGAGCTACGATTATTTGAAGTCCAAGGAAACCAAGTTATGTTTCTTGCTATGCTGTTTATTTCCAGAAGATTACAACATTCCAGTCGAGGACTTGACGAGATATGCAGTTGGCTATGGGTTACATCAAGATGGGGAGCCCATTGAAGATGCGAGGGAACAAGTTCATGTGGCAATCCAAGACCTCAAAGCTTGTTGTTTGTTGTTGGGCACTGAAACTGAAGAACATGTGAAAATGCATGACCTTGTTCGTGATGTTGCTATTCAGATAGCATCAGAAGAATATGGATTCATGGTAAAGGCTGGCTTAGGGTTGGAGAAGTGGCCATGGACGGGTAAAAGATTTGAAGGCTGTACAACAATTTCGTTAATGGGCAATAAACTAGCAGAACTTCCTGAAGGATTGGAATGTCCACGGCTCAAAGTTCTATTGTTAGAAGTGGATGATGGTTTGAATGTTCCAGAGAGGTTTTTTGAAGGGATGAAAGAACTTGAGGTTTTGTCTCTGGAAGGAGGGTGTTTGTCGTTGCAATCACTTGAACTCTCAACGAAACTTCAATCGTTGGTGTTGATCAGTTGTGGATGCAAGGACCTCATTTGGTTGAGAAAGCTGCAGAGACTTAAGATTCTTGGTCTTATGGGGTGCCTATCCATTAAAGAATTACCTGATGAAATAGGAGAGCTCAAGGAGTTAAGGTTGTTGGATGTGACAGATTGTGACAGGCTAAGTAGGATTCCTGTGAATTTGATTGGGAGGTTGAAAAAGTTAGAAGAGCTGTTGATCGGGGATTGCAGCTTTGAGGGATGGGTTGTTGATGGATGTGACAGCACAGGAGGAATGAATGCAAGCCTAAAAGAACTAAATTCGTTGTCTCAGTTAGCCGTATTATCATTGAGGATACCGAAGGTTGAATGCATTCCTAGAGATTTTGTTTTTCCAGATAGCTTGCGCAAATATGATATAATATTAGCGAATGCTAATGAATATTATAGAAAGTTTAGGGATCGATACCCAACCTCCTTAATTTTGGTTGGTACATCCTTAAATGCGAAGACATTTGAGCAATTGTTTTTACATAAATTAGAATTTGTAGAAGTGAGGGATTGTGGGGATGTTTCCACTCTGTTTCCAGCAAGATTGCGGCAAGGTTTAAAAAATCTAAAGGAGGTGATTGTTGAAAGCTGTGAATCATTGGAAGAGGTATTTGAATTAGGTGACCTGCCTGGTGAAGGAAGCAGGGAGGAGAAGGAGCTGCTGTCATCTTTAACAACGTTAGGGCTGCGCCGGTTACCTGAGCTGAAATGCATATGGAAGGGGCCCACCAGATATGTCAGCTTCCAAAATCTTGCTCGTCTGGATTTGGATTCTCTCGACAAACTGACATTTATCTTCACACCGTCCCTCGCTCGAAGTCTGCCAAAGCTGGGAACCCTTGACATAAGAGATTGCGGTGAATTGAAGCATATTATCAGAGAAGAGGATGGTGAAAGGGAAATAATTACAGAGTCTCCTTGCTTCCCACAATTAAAAAATATCACCATAGAAAAGTGTGGTAAACTGGAATATGTCTTCCCTGTATCTGTGTCTCCAAGCCTTCTGAACCTGGAAGAGATGCGGATTCTTAAAGCTCATAATTTAAAGCATATATTTTACAGTGTAGAAGGAGATGCACTCACCACAGATGGCATCATCAAGTTCCCTCGACTAAG